GTGTTGATATATAATGTGGTTAAAATCTTTAAGTGTACATTAGTATAGCAATTAAAAATGTCGAATAGAATTAAGACGATGTTGAAGATGGCACGAAACAGTAAGTTACTTATTTTGAGTAATTTTAAGTGTACTTTTAATGATTTTATGTTTCATTTTTATTTTTTTCAGATGTCAACGTCACAACGGATAGAAAACTTCTAAAGCCGGTTGTTTGCAGAAACTTAGGTGATACATTTCTTTTGCAAACAGACAACAATAATACCAATAATTTGAAAAACTATTTAGTAGTGAGTACCTATACTTATTTATTAGACATGCTTACATATTACATAGTAAAAATAGTAATAATGTTATATCATAACATAAGTAGTGAATTTAACAAAATATATTTTATATACCTACCTAGTTTATTAAAAACAGTTGAAAACAAATGGTGTTATAGTTAATAATATGTTAAATTAATTATATATTACATAACCATAATAAAAAAACCCACCAACATAGATTTACCTACTTAAGATTTTAATTTAATTAACTGTAGTATAACAAATTAAAAAATATAAATAATAGAAGTATTTTTATCCTTAGGAATGGGTAAATAAATCAGATCCGTCGTATGGGCTATCAGACAATGATTATCCATCTTATGATGTCAATGATGTTACAAATGAAAAACATAATTTTGAAGTAATTTCTTAAGCAGTTTATTCATAGTATACCTATTTTAATGTATACGTTATTTTATAGAGTGAATTAACTTTAACAAATCTAGTAGGTAATAAAGTAATATTTTTGTATTTGTGTTTACAGGGTAATGTAACTAGTTGTGCTTATAATAATAGCAAAAAAGAAACTTGTATTACATTAAACAACATCAACTACACACTTGAATTTAGCAATGACACCCAAAATTATAATCAAATTACTGTGGAAAATAATAACTTTAATGATAAAGACAATGTTTTTAACATTATAGAAAACGCAAAACAAGTAAATATATTTCTAGTAAAACATTTTTATTAAAATTAATGTAACATTTTTTTCCTATTACCTATAATAGGTAAATCATGATGACAATATTTATGGCAAATCAAGTGTTATTTTGGGAACACCTGTATCGTCTGTAGAAAACCCAACGGCTATGGAACAGGTATGCATATAATGTTCAATTGTATATTATATATTTTTATAAAAAAAAAAAATGTTTATTTAATATAAACAGGATAATGATGACATCAATGACGAACCAAGTGTAATTTTGGGTACATCTGTTTCATCTTTAGACAGTCTTATACCTATGGAACAGGTATACATAGAACATATTATATACTATATGTGCCATTTTGGTTAAATATTTTAATATAATAATTTTTATTTAATATAAATAGGATAATTATGACATCAATGGCGAACCAAGTGTAATTTTGGGTACATCTGTTTCATCTTTAGACAGTCTTATACCTATGGAACAGGTATACATAGAACATATTATATACTATATGTGCCATTTTGGTTAAATATTTTAATATAATAATTTTTATTTAATATAAATAGGATAATTATGACATCAATGGCGAACCAAGTGTAATTTTGGGTACATCTGTTTCATCTTTAGACAGTCTTATACCTATGGAACAGGTATACATAGAACATATTATATACTATATGTGCCATTTTGGTTAAATATTTTAATATAATAATTTTTATTTAATATAAATAGGATAATTATGACATCAATGGCGAACCAAGTGTAATTTTGGGTACAGCTGAATCATTAGTTGGGAGTCTTGAAGTACATCTAAATACAAATAATCAAAATAAAAGAAAGTCTAGAGTAAGCTTGAAAGGTGATACCAGACAATTCAGAATTTATCGAAATCAAAAAAGAAATACTGGTTTGGAATATACGACTAATACAGGGAAAACAGTCAAACCCCGAGCATCTAAAATACTTCTAGATTGTAAAGCCAAATGTAAAAGTAAAATACAAGATGATTTACGTGAGCAATTGTTTAACATGTATTGGGCCATGGGTAGTTTTAATAGACGAACCTCTTATATGTCTAAACTTATTACATGTTGTCCTAAGAAAAGTTGTAGAAAAAGAAGGGATACACCAGAAAAACAAAAACCAAAGGAAAAGACATATAAATACTATGTACCAAGAGATGGTGATTTAATACAGGTATGTAAAGGTTGTTTTATGAGAATATTTTGTGAAAGTACTAAGTTTTTAAGAAATATTTGTACTAATATGCTAAATTCACCTGCACAACGATGCTCTCCAGATAAAAGAGGTTGTGCACCACCTGGAAACAAACGCTGTCAAGATAGTATTAATTTATTGATTAACCATATTAACTCACTCCCTAGTTACGAAAGTCATTATTGTAGAAAGGAGACCTCTAAAAAGTATTTACCAAGTCACTTTACATTGCAACGAGCTTATGAGGAATACAAAATAAGTGTAGAAAAGCCAGTTAGTCGAACACTATATGAAAAATATTTTAAAGCTGCAGGGTTGAAAGTTAAAAACCCCAAGAAGGATACATGTGCACAGTGTGACAAGTATAAAATCAAGCTTACTGATAATATTATAACAACCGATCAAAAGAATAAGATAATTGAAGATAAAATACAACATCAAAATGAAGCTGAGCAAGCCTATGAATCGAAAAGAAATGACATAGCCACTATGTCCACAGACCATTGTGTTTTGTCATTTGATTTACAACAGTGTCTGCCGACCCCCTCATTAGAAAGCTCTGTTGCATTTTATAAACGCCAATTATGGACCTATAACTTAACTGTGCACAATTGTGCCTCATCTAAAGCAACATGCTATATTTGGTATGAAACTTTAGCCAAACGAGGGGCTAATGAAATTGGTTCATGTGTATACAACTATTTATCTAATTTACCAAAAAATATTACTCATGTAACCATGTACAGTGATTGCTGCCCTGGGCAAAATAAAAACAGCATCCTCATGGCTATGTGTCTGTTTTTTTTGGATCAACAGGAAACTATTGAAACAATTGATCATAAATTTATGGTGCCGGGCCACTCAAGAATGGAGTGTGACTCGGATCACGCTAAAATTGAAAAAGCTCGGAAAACATTTCCTTCATCTATTAATCATCCATATGATTGGATGCAATTAATTAGATTTGCAGGAAAAAATAAGTTTTTGGTAGTAGAAATGGTGCAAGAAATGTTTTTTGACTTCAACAAATTATTGAAAAAATCTTATCAAATGAAGAAAACCAATGAAAATAAAGAAAAATTTGTTTTTCGAGATGTTAAGTGGATTCGGTACATTAAAAACGAAAAAGGTATAGTATTTTATAAGACTTCCCTTGGTTTAAATGCGAAATTCCTCAAATTGAACTTAAACAGGAAAAATGCAACTTCAATGGAAATTGAAAGAGCATACTATGATATGTTATGTATAACTGAAGAAAAAAAAAAGGATCTTATGACATTATTGGCATTTATACCTGAAACATTTCATGATTTTTATAAAAGCCTGAAATCAAACATAGATATTAATGATCCTATAATATCTGATGAAGAAAATGAATAATGTAACTTCTGTACAATTTTATGTTATTTTATGTTATTTTAATATTTTGTTTTATTTTATCAAAGTGATTATTCTTTATACTAAAAGTTACTATTTATTTTATCTTAAAAGTAGTTGTTTATTTTTAAAAGTTTTATATTGTTAAAAATGTTATTGATATTATAATTAATAATAAATTATACCCAAAAGACATTATGATTTTAATAAAACCTAAAATCAGTCAAAAATATATTACCTACTAGTACTATATTCTTAATTATTATTATTATTTACTTATATTAAATTATATCATATACACTTTATTAGATAAATAAAATTAGGATCAACCTTTAGGTATTCAATTCCATTTTTAATATAATAATATTATGTACATTTCACATTTGCACATATTATTATTAAAATATTTTGTATTATTTGAGTTACTTTTCAGAGAGCTTAAACTATTATATGCAGTAATTAGTTATTTGTTTTATGGAAACTATAATGTATATATTGCAAAATAATGTATGTGTAATAAACAACTTTACTAAATTATAAAAAAAATTAAATTATTAATTATAGATTAATTTTTGTTGACTTGATCCCAATAGCACGAATATTATTGCATAATAACGACTTGATACTCTTTGCACTTAATGGTATCAAGTCGTAAAATACGATAAACGTTCGTGCTATTGGTATCAAGTCAACAAAAATAACTAAAAAATGGTTTTAAAGTATTTTTTTTTACATAATCATACAATTTATCAAAGTTATAAATAAAATTAATAGTTTCAATTTTTTTTTTATTTAAATGTAGAAGATGAAACGTTTTTGTTGTCTACTGAACAATTACTATTATTGACTTGATTCCCTTTTCACAAAAACCGTCCATATAAATTAGTTATTACATTTAGTTTTTATAAATAAGTCACATAGGTCAAGCAGAAAAATATATAATTAAATTTACGTTGTTTGAAAAAAAAAGAATAATATACTAATCAGAAAATTATTATGAAACAAATATGTCAGTAAAAACAAAATAAGATTAAAATATTTATAAAAACAAGATCATCAATAAGGTGTTTGGATTTAAAAAATAAAAATATAGGATACATGTCAACATTTCTATGTTCTTATTTTGACCTGTCAATGAAAACAAATATTTTCTCACAATAATGTGTTCGTCAAATTAGTAGTATATAACACTACCATTTAAAGTACATTAAGTACTTTTCAACTATCCAGTATAATCAAAATTATTCCAAAGTTCTAACGCACCAAATTTCAGTAGCCGGCAAATTTCATGATTATACTAGATTATATGCATCCTAATTGAACAATACTGATTTTTTAAAAACTTTTTCATGATAAACAGATAAATCTAATAGTTAAATTTTTATAGATACTATCAGTAAATGAGATTGTAATTTTAAAGTCCTTTATTGGAGTACACGATAGCTGGTGGGTTCTTGCAGTTGCTCACTATGTCACAGTATGCAGTATTCTCATATTTCTCCAATGTACTTAATTTAATGGAGCTGAAATAAGAAATGATGGTTGAACATAAAAAACATAAATTACTTTCAATCATATACCTGAACTGAGGAAACAAGGCACACGCAGTTGGCACCATACCAATCAGACTGGAAATAAAAAAATTCATATTTAGTCAAATTTTAACAAGTATGATTGTTATATATTATATATTATAATTTGATAAGTTTATATGGATAGTTTTATGTAAAAAATAATACTTACAAACAACCAACAGCGAGTGTTTGGAATGGAGCATGGATCCATGTATTACGCTTGAACCATGTACTTTTGTTTTCAAGTTTTTCCATTATGACAGGCAACAATACTAAAAATAGTGAATGATAAGAAAAACATAAATATACTTTAATTTAATAAAAATAAATTTTTAAAATTATAAATATTTGTTGAATTACCCATTCCAGGTGCACACATAACAATTCTTGATACTATGACTTGAGATATTCCTTTAGCAGCAGCTAACTAAAAGCAATCAATATTTTTAAATTTTATTTTTATAATAAGTAATATAAATATTATTTTAGGGTCCAATGTGTTACCTTAGAACATCCAACTCTATTTTTATCGGCATCATAAACATCTACACCTTTTAATAATTCAGTCTGGCGCATCAATGGTATGTTCACACAATTGGCTGCTGCAACCGCGGCAAATGGAACATATCTCTAAATTATTGATCAAATTAGGAAAATTCCAATGCTTTCACAAATTATTGATAGTTTACTTGAAAAAAGGGTGAAGCGTTGTTTGTCAGATATTGCTTTAATTTTATGGATGTTACACAAGCAGCTATTGTTGCTGAACCGTAAGCTGTGCCCATTTGAGTTTGGCTCAAAGGAGAGTTAGCATTTCGATTGGTATAGTTGACTAGAGCATTAAACGACTGATTAATCCATTGCCAAAACACCACAGCCGGAACTGTCCTTGTAAATTAACAAAGTGAAATAAATATTAACTACCTGTACATTACATAATTTTAAATTTTAATAATGGCATACTTATAAAAAGACAACATTGCTCCAGTAATAGCCATACCCCCAGGGACCTGAAAGCACATTCGACCAAATACATTTTGTTTTTGTCCAGTATCTGGGTGAAATGAACTTTCATAGATCTGTTTCGCAGCTAACAGTTGTTCAGTAGTTGTCCCAGGTGGAAGTGTACCATTTCTGAAAAAATGTGAAACATTTTAAAATTTAATTAAGTTTTTAAATGTCTAACAAGTCATATATTATAATAATACTATTATTCTTCATTACTACTTACAAATAGGATGAACGTAAAGACTTGGCTTCTTCAAGCTCTTGATCGGTTTTTAAACATAACATAGGGTTTGTCACCCAAAAGTAATAATGCCACCGCCCGACATAAGTACTCTGATCCCAAGGACATTTTTCCATTTCGAATGGCGTGTTCATTGTATAATGTATATTTTCTTTATTAAAAACTACTGAGCATTAAAAAAAAAAAACAGCAAATATTATTAATTGATTTTTTAAGAGCCAAAAACTCACTAAACTTATTAATTATTAAATTATTACCAAAGTTCAACTAAACAATACCTAATAAACTAAACAGAAAATCAGAGTAAATAACTGTTAACTGTTGTCTAAAAATGTTCAAAATAAAATTGTGTAGGTCGGTATGACGTGTATTTTTAAATATTTACAAGTAGGTACCAATGTCCTAAACTATAATTAACGTCGATTGTGTTTCAGACCACCAAAACAATCATAATTGTATGTTATGTTATAACTTAGGTGTTGTATGATAATAATGACGAGTCGGTCTGGCTAAAAACAAAATATGTAAAATTCGTAGAATAAATTTGATCGAATTAACATCGTGGGATGTATTTATGTATTATGTAAATATTAAGTCATTAAAAAATCCAGACGAATGGACAATGAATGAATAACTCGTAACTACTAGCTCGACCAATCGGAATCCCAAATGGCTAAATCAATGACCTAAATGATAAAATAATCATTAAATACGCAATTCTGACCAAAAAAAACGCGACTATAGCTTTTTCATAGGTGAGTAGGGGCCGTGGTGGCACTGTGACAGCTGCAGCTCATCGCACGTCATATATTATTATTATTATTATTACCTTTGAGTTTTGACAAATATTATTTATGCCCGTTCGATTCTCCTGTAAACTGTTTTTTGAATTGCACGTCTCCTCTGGTATTTATAACATTTTTTTTTATGTATTATTCACAAATAGACTCGTGAGTCGTGACGGCGATAGTAACTATTAAGGTTGTATCGCACAGCCGCAACGTCTATAATCTTTATCATTAAATAGTAGAATAGTTAGTAAAATACATAAATTCATAAACAAGCGCGGTGTGTTGTTGTGTTCCGGATGATTCCGGTAGTCGGTACTCTTCCGGTGCATACATGGTAATTGGTTAGCATTTTATATCATTAATATCTATGGTAGCCGGTAGGTAGCCGATAACAAAAAAATTTAAAAACTTGATAATTTATTTTGTTTCGTGGAGGAATAAATGCGACAAACAACTTGAAACAAGACGTACTTGGCCAATGGCCATTAGATCCATTTGCGTTGAAATCCAACACATTTTAATTGTATTAATTATTTATTTTAGATTCTGAGTGAAACGATAACGTACGTGAATACAATGATGTGTGTTGTTTAGTTTTTTTTAAATTTTTTTGTGTCTGTCATCACGTTTTAGGACAGTAAAAGTACTTAGATTTTCTTCAACAGTATCTTTTCTGAAAGGAAAGTGAATCTAGTTGGTATAGGTACTTTGGGGGGTCAAAAGTAAAATTTTTCCAGTAGTTTTCAAAAGCGCCAGGAAAAACAACATAAAAATTAAGGAAAAAGTGGAATTTTAACGCAAAATTTGTTTTCGAAGAAATCGATTTTGGTTTTTGGTACAACTCTTAAACAAATGACCCTCGGTACATGAAATTTTGATTCAATGTTTATACTCTCATTTTCTATACACCATAGCATTTTTCAAATATTTTGAATTATTTTGATCTGTTTACTAACATTTTCAGTTTCCATATTTTTTATTTTTTTTTTCTATAAATATCAATAAAATTTTATTTGTTGCTTGGAAATTTGATAGAAGGCAGATGAAAAAAAACTAAAAATCCATAGTCACAATTTTTTTTTATAAGCATTTAAAATTCAAATACTGACAAAATACGTAAGAATGACGAAAATTTGCAAATTATTCTGAGTTAGAAATTCATAAAAAATTTTCTTTTTAAATCTAAGATTTGAAAATGTATTACAAGATATGTTTGTCTACCTTTATCAAAAAAAAAAAAAAATGTCTACAAGAAACTCAAACTAAATTTTTTTGAGTGTTTGAAATTCATATTTTTACAACATTTGATATTCACTCGATTTCTCATGTAAAGGTTTTCTTATTTTATTGAATTTATTGTAATTAAAAAACGAGTGAGCACAATATACCTATTACCTATAAACATCTCTCAGTACACTGACATAAGAAAACAGATTAAACAAAACACTATTTCCCATTGGCAAAACATATAGATCAGCCAAACAAACAAATTAAACCAAATTAAAAAAACAGTAATAAGATGGAAAAGAAACCTAAACATTATAAGTACCACAAACGAAGAAAAACTAAATCGAACTAGAATTAGACACTCAAAATTGACTCATGGATATTTAATGGCTAAAAACAAACCACCAATATTATATGCCTAACAAATTTGGTGCCACAACCTCACTCACAATTAAACACATTTTTGAAGAATGCAGAATATACCAAATACAAAAAGAATTAAAGAAATTAGATAGGTATAGGTACCTATTTTAAACGGAGGAGAAATTATTTTGATTAATACTTCAACTTTCAAGGGTTTATCGTACATTTTGAAAAATAATTTGATGAGTTATAAGATTTATGTTGACTTATTTTAATCGCAGACTCCTCGCCCCTCCTAACATTTTTTTTAACGCATTTTATTTTTATTATAATATTGGACTAAAACAAGGTATAATTTAAATTTTGAAAATTTACCTCCCTCCTTTGGCAGACTTCTGGATCCGCTACTACTACTGCTATAATATAATATACAGGGTTATTCAAAATGATTCAACCGATTTAAAGTGCTTATATTATTTTATTTTTTAGGTTTAGAACAATATGTTATACATTAAATAAAAGAAAAATATGTCAAGTTTAGTTAAGTGTATCTATAAATGTTCTATGTGAGCTCCTATTTGGTTACACGAATAACATCTGGTCGGTAGTCAAATTCATACCATACTTTTTGAAGCATAGACTACATGGCTGTTGTTCTTCCTTTTTTCAATTCAACTAGATTTGATGGAAGTGGTGGTATGTACTATAGAGTACCTATAGACCTATTAACTTTAGTTGAAGAAAACAAGAAATTAATTTAACTATATTTCTAATTTCTTATCCTAGTAAATGGTTATGTAATATGCAACATCAATAATAATTTTTATTTTATTATATTTATTACTTAATTATTTATAAATTAACATAATTTTAATTTGATTGAAAGTAACTCATTATTAAATAATAAATTTCATTAAGTTTATATCAATAAAATGAGTTAAGTTCAAAATTAAGTTAATGAAAATTAAATTTTAAAAAGTTAAAATTAACTTAACTTTTTAACTCGTTTATGCCCAGGCTTAAATATTTGTTTTTTTTGCATCCCCCCCCCCCCAAAAAAAAAAATACATGATTCCTGGATCCTCCTCTGGCTGATGATAGATGTGTATATTTATGTTATTACTTATTGCTGATAAATTGTTATACAGGGTGTTGCACAATAAATGTGTCAAACTTCTAGAGGTGTTTCTACACCTCAAATGGAACAAAAAAAGTCCTTATGACCATAATCCAACTATCAATAATAAGGGTGATAATTTCCATGTTTGTGTTTTTTTGGTTAAACGCAAGTTTGATTCATAATAATGTTCATATCTGCTAAACCGTAGGTAATACAATTAATTTGAATACATTGATGAAAAGCTCATAAAATTGGGATTATGAAAACAAATCGTACAAGGTCCATACCTTATTATTTGGGTAAAAAGAATAACACAAATGGTTTATAACTTTAAAATGTGGAAATTTAAAAAAAATTCAGTGTTATCTAACTACAATTATTTTTTAAGGCAGGGGTCATAAGGACTTTTTTTGTTCCATTTGAGGAGTAAAAACACCTCTAGAAGTTTGAAACATTTATCGTGCACACCAGGGCCGGATTAAGGTTTTTGCCGCCCATAGGCTGAAATAAATTTACCGCCTAATTTTCATAGGTATTGATATTTTACTTCTGTAAGTGATACGTAAAAACTCTCCACACCTCATATAAAAAATGATCATTAATAAAATAAAAACATAAAATCAATACTATTATTATTTATTAATGAATGAAAACTCTTTAAGCATATTACAAAAAAAAATACGAACAAATAATTATTTTTCATATTCTTCAGATTATAGTCTTACGTCTTGATTTTTTTTTCGCAGTCTTCTATGATGTCGTCATATGATAACTGATTAGTTAATTCATGTTCAATACTTAGTATAGCAAGTGCATTTAATTGATCCTGTGACATCGTTGATCGGAGATAATTTTTTATTCTTTTCAAGCAAGAAAAAGAACGTTCAGCTGAACAGTTAGTCACCGCAGTAGATGTATATATTCTGAGTGCTATTTCGATGTTGGGATATATTGAAATTAAGTTTTTTTCATGTAAAATTTGAAGAAGTTTAGGAACATTGTTTTGCTTATCGTCAGCCAGTTGTATTATGTGTGCTTTTAAATGTAAACATTCATTGATTAATTCATTTAAATCCATATCATCATAGTATATTTCATTAAGTTGTGTAGCTCCTTTAACAATATCATCATGTGATAGACGTTCGAGCATGACAATAAAAGCAAATGAAAAAAAAAAATTTTGATACGCAGCTCTTCTCTTTTTAAGTACATTCAATAAATGATCTAAAATTACTAAAAAGGTATCAATTTTAAATTTTTCTCTTCCAGAAGTAATTAATTCATTGTCGAGTTTCATCATAAAAAATTGATTTAATTTTTTTACGAGTTTTTAAATCTTTATATTCTTTTGTAACTTTTGTATTATTATGGGATATGGGTTTTAATGCTTCTTTCCTTCACGATTTACTATTAATATAATAACATAATATTACGTTAATACGTTCAATTCCGCGGCCTATTCGCCGTGCCATTATCGCAACGAATTTCCGCCCGGTCGACTATTGTAACTATTGACTATATTGTTATTTGTCATATATTTCTGTTACACCCTGCATACCATTTTAGAACCTAAAAATATATTTTCTTATACTTTATAATTAATAATATTATTTCA